CCTCTCCTTTATTGAGTTATATATCTTTTTTGTGCATGTAACAGGTTTGCAAAGTGAAAAAGCCCAAAGTCCAGCACTAAGGGAGTTCAAATCTCCCACAGAAAACTCTGCTCTGAACCGCCTGAAAACAGCTCGTTTGTAGACCAGCCGTTTCCTTTTGTTCTCTGTGATGTCACAGCAAAACGCACGTCATATTGCTCGCCTAGCAGCTAGTCAGATGTGCCCTCAAGAGCATCGGTGGAAAAACACTCCAAACACTAGCTACCCTCCAGGCAGTCAGTGGACATAAAGTTGTTCCTGTGATGTAGAGGCAGAGCTCAGTTAAAACTTTATGGATGAAAGATACATTTGTTACAGATTAATAACGCACCACTCTGAAACTCTTGCTCCAGTCTGTGTTGCTAAGCTGGTAAGGGCATGTACAGCTGAACAGAAGCCGTGTTTACCGGTTTGTCACGACCTGCCCCTCTCTGCTTCTGATTGGCTAGTAGTTCTTAACTAGATACTGTGCATGTGCAACTCTCAACAAAGATCTTGTAGAGGTAAGATGCATCACTCCATGGCTAAAACGGAGCGTTCAACACACAGAGTGAAAAGAGGAGCTGCAGCAATGTGCAGTCTGACAAAAATATGGTGTTTTTTGAAAATGAAACCATGTAAACCTGTTCTGGTACAACCCCTAAATAAGATTTTGAACCTGAAAATGAGCACATTATGACCTCTTTAAAAGTTTAATAAATCAGACATGTAACAAAATCCAGTGGAATATGCTCCATTAATATCCTAAAGCAATCAGAGATTGTGAGAGTCTTAGAAGAGATCCATTAAAGTCATATATTTTCTTTGCACAGAATGTCAATACATTAAACTGTTTTTCTGATAGCGATGTGAGAGCAGACACTGGAGCTCAGTTCACAACATGTTCTGGATTTTATACACGATATTTCCCAAGTGTTTTTGTAATTTGGGACCAGTATATGTTTAACAGTTAAGGCACAATGGAGAGGTGCCGACATTCAATTTGGAAAGATGATCACAAGAGAATGAACTCTTTGTAGTGTATTTGAGTCTCATTCGATTACTATTTGTTTTGTATTATCTTCCTATACATCTTCTGTAATCTGTACACCCAGTTCCCTCTCCGATTTCTATCTTATCTCCCGAATTCAAAATAGCTTGTAAGCCCTGCTTCTCTATTGTGGAAACATTAACATTTTCTTAATATAATCTCTTGTCTGAAAGTATCACATTTGTTTTTATCTGATTAGAGGCCATACAGAATTTCAGAGATGTCTGTGAGGGAAGAAATACCTTTTAAAGCACAGTTTAAGTTTAACGCTTGGTACCAATTCAGGTTTGCTAATGATTGGAGTAAGAATGGATGTCATCCTAGATCTTCATTAATATTTTGTACTACTCTCCAGACCTTAAAAAAATACCTTAAAAAATACCTTAAAAATAAAATTATACAAAAAGTCAAAATGTCAGGCTTTGACTAAACCTGATCATGTCAACTGATCATATCTATCTGCACCACCAGAGTCCCGTGCTGCAGTACCTGTACTTCATTACCCAGATTCCCATTGCCATGTCCCCTCTCAGCAACAATAGCCTGTTCCTGGAATATGCCAAGAACCCCCTGCTGGAGTTCCACAAGAAAGGCCTGGTGGTTTCTCTGTCCACCGACGACCCCATGCAGTTCCACTACACCAAGGTCTGAGCACATGAAGAGAGGGCCTTTAATGATGATGTGATCAACGGTGCATACTATGCTGTGTCTAATATGAGTATTGTTTTATGTACATCTAACGACGAATGCATTTTAGCTTTCTTAGCAAGTTTGTCTTTGTATTCACATATAGTCAAAATAATAGAATAGGATGTCAATTCTATGAACATGCACTGTAAACACATAAACAGGTATCATAAAGCATGAGCATGCAGATGTGTGCAAAATTAGCTGTTTTATCATGTGAATTTCTCTCATGTGAGTTACCTCTTAAGAATGATGCCACAGTTCATGGTAAACATCTACAAGGTCTCTTTTGAGCCTCAGTATCTTGAAAGAGTGATCAAAATAGTGTATATCATGTCCTTTATATCCACAGGAACCCCTGATGGAAGAGTACGCCATTGCAGCACAGGTCTTCAAGCTCAGTACCTGCGACATGTGTGAGATCTCCAGGAACAGTGTGCTGCAAAGCTCCCTGTCTCATGAGGTAACATACCAGATGGAGAGCTTTAAATGTGGTGGTGCTTTGTTGACTTTTTAACACATTTAATAAAAAGATTTTTATTAATTTTATATTGGTGCATAACAGTAATTGCTTTATGTCAAATCCTCTGAAAGACACACATATTTGCTTCAATTTAAGAGCACTGACCCCATACAGACCATTATATATCATGATCATTTTATGCTCGCACCTAAACATGTTTGTGGTTTAATTGTATGTTCCAGGAGAAGAGCCACTTCTTAGGTCACGACTACCTGAAAGATGGTCCAGAGGGCAACGACATCCGTAAGACCAACGTGGCTCAGATCCGTATGGCATATCGCTTTGAGACCCTGTGCTATGAGCTCAACCTTATCAGGGAAGGCCTGAAGTCTGATTAAACAGTCTCAAATCTGACTTAACACCTAGTCAAAACACGTCACTAGAGCGAGAGAGAGTGAGTTTCTACATTTGTTTTTCACAATAACTCTTAACAAAGTGAATCTTAAAGAAACCAACCTTCTAACACACTGATGTTCTCTCCTTTGGAGGAAGAAAATGTTTGATAATTGTCTTCCCTGTATATCATCAGCACATCTTGTCCAAAAAACATTGCAGTATGTGTATTCCATATGGAGAAACATCGTGTATAAGAATGAAAATAAAATAAAATGTCAAATAACAATTGTCTTTGCGTGGTAGTTGCACCTTTGATACATTTCCTAATTTGATCAGTATTACATTGCAACATTATTTACTTATAACAGCAGGATCTTGTCTAGCTGTGTTGACTTTGTGACTTGGCAGTGTGCTACTGCTGTCTTCAGACATTCCTTGTAAGCTCTGACCTGTAAGTCGCAAATGAGACTTGACTATGCACTCTTATTTAGCGCCTTCTTTCACTGAAAGTGTAGGTTACCATAAGTAGTTTTCTGATGGCTGTTTCCTTCCCTAGAAGTTAAGCTGCATAGACATTTAGCTGTATCAGCATAATGACGGAAAATGTGCATCAGTCATGCAAATTTAATAAAGTTATTAGTCTGAGTCGTTGCATAATGCATCACTTTTACCATGAGTTATAGACAGAACCTCCATGATGTATGCCATTTCCCATGACACTACCCTCATTTATTGAACACCAAAACTGGGATGACAATGTCAACAATTGCTAAATCTTAACTGCATTGAGTTCACATTTAACCTCCTTGGATGGCGATCAAGGCTGAGATCTATTTGGAAAACATGTCTATAGAGCAAAATTACATCAGGGCAGGTCAAGACTAATGCTCCCTTTAGGCCATGTTTTGTGGTCCATGGTTTATCTGAAATAGCTGAACAAATGTGCATAATACGCTGTGAGTCTGCTCCACTGTAGAGATTCATTATGTGAGTTTCAAAATCCTGGGGATGAATCATCTGCTGCAAAATCGAATTTTACTAGACTTTGACATTAGCTGGAGTTAGCTGAACCAAATGATATTTTGAAGCAACTGAATGAATATATCACTTACAATGTTTTTCTCAAAACGATTTCTCAACTGTTTCAACCCTGTCCACAATGTCCTTCACCAAAACATCACATATCCTACTTTATAAATGAAAGTAAACTCCCAGTCACATTTATTAACTCGTGGAGTAGCGCAGGTGCAGCTCGTTGCTCTATAGGCTATATTCCCAGGGTACATGAAGATAACAGTATTTATTCATCGTTGACAGCTGCTGGAGTTAATATGATGACGTATTCACTCTTGGCTCGGGAGGATTCAACCAAACTTTCTCACAGATACAGCTGTGTCAAACTCGCCAAAACACCCGAGTAAAACCGGAATTCAAACGAACTGCCTAGAAAATGCAACTAAATTATAGCCTAAATAAGCCGGATATAGCATTTCATTAGTCCTCTAGCAATTTACTAAGCTATTGCGCAATTTGTGCTCTGTTCGTTCTCTCTTTATTTTCTTTAGCCTTTATTTATACAGAGAATCAGCCTAGCGTCTCAGGGGTACAGCTGAGCCCTGATTTTATTAAACGGATATAAATAGAGGCCTATATGATAGCCTATATTAAAAAAAACAATTTACAGTTAACAATTAGGCTACATTCCTCAGTAATATATTCATTCCACATTGCTTTAAATTGTCCTGTAGAAACCAAGACATCTAGCTTAATATTTTCCTGTACTTTGTTCCTAGAATGCACAACATTCCCTAGCTCAGAATGGCTCCCAGGAATCTCTAACGAGTCTGACAACCGCCGACTTTCCAATTTATTTTAGAGGTTAGATAGCTGGGAAGTGTATGTATTATAGTATATAGTGTGAAGAAAAATCACACCCCACTTGCGAAAACAGTAGACAATGTTAAAATTGGCACCTGTAGCCTCATAAACCGCAAGGTAGCATATTCTGATGCTGCATATTGAAATTTCCACATATTCGTCCTTCTTGTCACTCTAGATGGGTTTATTTGCGTTTACAAACTTTAGGACAAAAACAATTTGTCTGTATAGAATAATAACATTTTAGGACCAAAATATCCCCCATCTGCAGTTCTCAGCTCATCTGCAGAAAATATATTGCCTTTGAAATCCAGAACAAGATAACTCTGAAAAGATGTCATCAAAATGTATAAATCGAAAGAACATTAAAAAAGACATGTGTTTTAAGTTGAAGTTGCAAAATTAATTAATTAATTAATGTAATTTCACTTCGAAAGTTCAGAAAAACATTTTGCGATCATTTTATTTTGGAAGTTGTGACCGGAACTCGAATGTTTTCTGGATGACTTGACAGTAATTGTTGAGGAGCGCCTTGCTTTACTTTTCTGTTGTCTGTGGCCACTGTCTTTGTTGTTGTGTATAATTATTAGTATATGGGAGACGTTTTATGCCTCATAAAAGTTTGTTTCCATATAAGTTGTAATAACTGACGGTGGGCTGCGGCGTTAGCCTGAATTTATTGAGGCTGCTAACTTAACCACGAGCGAGTGGACTCCGATTTTATGTTTTTCATTTTTATCGAAAGGACAATGAGGAAGGAACATGCGTTTGGATCATAAACAACGACGGGTAAGTCATTAGAGATCAAGGTTATGCATCTTCCCGTGTGCTATTTTGATCTTATATCGTTACCACACAACGTGTCTGACTAATATTGCTGTCTTTCTCTTCTAACTAACGTTAAACGTTAAGGAACGTAAAACGCAAACTAACTAAATGAGGTAACGTTAAGTTAACTAAGACCTGTTGTATTTTGTTGCATTAATTGATTTTAATTAACGTTACCCAGTTGCTGTCCGTAAAATATGTAAGTTAGCTCAGCTTCGGTTTTTCCAAAAAGTTACTTGCTGTTTTTTCAGTACAGTGGGAAATCAATGCTAAACTGGATAGAAAAAATGGCGAGTTAAAACTGACATAATTATCGACAAATAAAGTTATATTTTAACATCATTATCAAGAATATTTCAGTATCAATAAGCCCTGTTGTTCAATTCGGCATGCCACTAATCATTTAAACGGTGTTTTTTAGTACAATATAAACCTTCCCAGTTAACTAAAATGTTATTCGTGTGTCGCTCATCCCATAGACAAATCATGGTTTAATTAACCTGGTGGTTGGCAGCAAGCAGCATAACGTCATACCGATTAGGTTATTTCGGCCTTTTGTTAAAACCGGATTACACAGTATTTTTTACAGAGGCAGATGAGTGATTGGGTTTAATTTCTGTGCAAGTAAGGCTTTGCAATAGGGAGGATTTTTTTAAGTTACTATAGCTTTGAATGGAGTTTGGAAAGGTGTTTCATCATTTAACAGAGAAGGAGGACACTAGTGGAGCATTTTTCTCTCTCTCCTACATTTTACAGATTATCTAACGCTACACATGTTACACAACAATATCAGCAATTAGGCAACTAGACTAATTCTCTATTATTATGGAAATATACGACTGCTGTTGCCAAATCAGAAAAAAAACTCTCGGAGAAATGGTCAAATCAACACCAGGAACAATATTAATTAATGGAATGCATTTATTTTGTGCTAAAGCGCTTCAGTTTTTTTATATTATAGTTGTCTTGGTCTGAGTTGAGAGAACTTGGTGGAAATTATGGATCTTGTCATGTTGAAATGGACTATCTTGTCTTTTTTGCTGCTGCCTTTTATAAAATCAAATGTGAGATTTTTGATTAATATCTTACACTGCACTGTAACCTTTACTGTCCTGGCTTAACTTGCTTTGATTTTCTATTTTATTTAAATGTCTCTATATTATCCTCTGTAGCTTTTTTTATTTTATGTAAAGCGCTCTGAATTGCCATGTTGTTAAAATGTGCTTTAAAAATACACGTTCCTCGCTTTGCCTATCACTCTTTCACCGGCCCTGTGAAAATTAATGTCTGGATGCACACACATTGTTCTGGTGGCTGGAGATGGATTAGTCATTTTAAGGCACTTAATCTTGGTGTGACCTTTCATGCTGGCATTTTTCTTTTATTATAGCTTCATCTGTTACTGTTGATGGTGAACCACAGTTGTATAGCCTACCTCACCTGCAACATGTTGTGTCATGCCGCACTTCTGTGGGAGGGTGTTTTGTGGTGGTTTTGAAGGTGCAATTAAGGTTTAATTTAGCTACGAAGTGACGATGGTGGACTGATGGTTTCATGGGCCCCCAGTCTGGTTTCCACATAGGTGAATCAGTGAGTTTCACTAGAGACTAAAGGATAACTTCTGCAGAGTTGATAGCCTCATAAACATCAATGAATCATTTGGACTCAGCACCTCACAGTTTGCCTCTCTGGCAGTAACAACATTTGATTTTAATTGTATATGCCATGGCAAATGGCAGTTTAAAACAAAATGACAGTTTTAGACGTGTTTATGAATGTTACGGTACAGGGATTTAATGTAGATAATCTAAATATAGCTTAAATCAGTGGTTGCAATTGGCTGAAAGTTGCCCCAGTACCATAATTATGGACAGTCTGCTGATCCTTCTTCCTGCAGCTCAGGAAACGCAACTCATGCCTTCCTGTACAGCACACCGCACAGAGACAAGTAATGCAAGTGGGTCAGTTTGGGAGTCGCATTGTCATTGCATGGTCTGGCAATGATCGAGCAGCATTCCAGTGCACACGTACATTTGATTTAGGTCAAACCAAACAAAGGCGTCACTTGCAAGACTGACTGACAGACTGTCTGTAGTTAAATTTATTCCCCGACCCCCTCCATGTACACTCAGCAGGAATGCAGGCTCATAGAGTTATTATGATCATGAACTGTGCAGTGGAATTTTACCATGTCTCCCCTTCTCCACATTCTCTCAGCCACGGTTCTAATGTGCAACGTGTCCAAATGGTTTGGTTCCAGCAAGCCAGGAGCTGCTGTACAAGAGTGTACAGTGACTGCATTGATGTTGACTCTGGGAGTATGAGTTAGAGTAGATGCCACTGCGGAACTTTACATCATGTTTGATAGCATTTGATGGGAGGGAGCAAGATCACAGCTTTATACTATACATATTCTAATCCTAATGCAAAGGATGCATTTAATCCATAGTCCTGTATGTTTTTATCTTGCACCTTTATGAATAGCTCAACCATTTTGAGTTTTTTTTACTCCACTGCGTAGATAGGTGTGGTTGAAATGTTTTCAGTCATTCACCTAATTGTCATTGGTTCATTATGTATGGCGTGAGATTAGTGTGTTTTCTTGCCTCTAAAGCTCTTTGAAATCACTCAAAATGAGAATTCGTCCCACTCAGCTTTGCCAGAAGACTAAATTAGATTTAATGCTTTGCTGTATCATTGGCATTTTGTATTTGGCCAGCTATGCAGTTACGGACAACAGCTACAAAGAAGACAGAATTCCCCTGGGGCTAGAGGAGGGTAGGGGCGGCTCAAGACACAGACACACAGCAGCAGAAATCTGCAGTAACCTTGTTCCTGTCACTGTCTTTCCTTATTCTTACTGGATTTATTTTTGGAAACTGACCTTGACAGGAGCCTGTTCTTCTTGACCTTCTCACTGTCCCTGCCTACAAGTTGTAGACAGATGTGTGCCATTTCAAAGAACTTTTGTCCTCCTGTGTTACCTCAGTATCCCTTTGACCCTGCAGTGTGCTGTCTGGTCTTGTTTTTAAGTGCAGTGATTGATGAGTAATTTTTGTGTCTTGTCTTCTTTTTAGGTTGTTTACAAAAGGGGACATGGAGAAAATGACACTCTACTAGCACAAGAAGACGTAGAGACATAAAGGAACCGTTCGAACCGTAAACCTTGTGGCGCTCCTGTTTTTACTTATCATTTCTGGATTAATTGACAACAGACTACTTTGTTTTTTTCCTGTCTGTCTTTGTGAGGAAATCTGTGATGCATTCACCAATGGAGAACTGAGGGTGAGCCCCCTCTCAACATGCTAGCTCTGAGGCTGGAGCAGGGCAAGCGAGGGGGTGGTGAGGTTGATGGCCTGCAGAAAGGGGCAACCTTGACTTGGCAGGGCCGTCAGTCAGGGAGGCCCCCTTCCCACGAACAGGGCATTAACATCAGGGAGAAGATCTCCCAGTGGGAAGGTCGCAGTCAGCAGGGCAGCAGCCAGGATACTGGGGTGAAAGCACACCCTCCAATTGTGTCCCAAACTCTGTCTCGAGATGTCCTGGGTAACAGATGTTCCAACGAGGGATCAAGAGGGGGGAACTTCTCCAAAGCTAAGAGCTTGGGCTTAGATTTTCGAGAATGCCCAGCACAAGCTGGACATAGTGTGATCGGTAGGAAGTCAGAACCTCTGCAAATATGTTCCACTGAATTTCCATCCCCAGGAAATACACCACTTGCAGCACAAATATTTGCGTCTCCAAAAGTGGAGGCTAACACTGCTAACTCTCCAGGTAAACAAATCTTCACTGCCAATGGCAACCAAAAAACAGATTGCATTTTGGATCTTGAAGTCATCTCAAAACATCTACCTCTATCAACTGATGACCAAGAAGACAACATGCCTGCTGGAAACTTCTACACTTCACGGGGTTTCTGGCGTAAACTTGAGGGGGACAGACTGCTCTGGGAGAAAGGCACTGAGTCTTCATGTGAAGCTCAGCCTCCTCCCAAACCTCTGCGGACATTCCAGTATCGGGGAGCCAACAACAACAACACAGGTCACACAATTCAATGGGACAGCAGATCACCTCATAACAACCACACCAACGTGGGGAGTAGGAGGGTATCCCACCCACCTAGCTTCCCACCTCCTCCATGTCCTGTTGCAAAGACTAATGGGCTTTCAAGGCATAAAAAGAACAGGTGAGTCAATGCACTAAAAGCAGAGCATAAATAACTGAATAACTTAATCTGAATCTTGTTTTTTTAAGAAAGCAGCCCCGGCTGATAATAATATTTTGTAAAAATGCATATTAAAACTTCTTTGGACGGTCTGAAACACATGGTGTTTATTGAATATCAGCAGTGTTTTAAGGCCATGTTTCGGGAGGGTACTCAGTGTAATTGCTGGCTGGGGTCCAAGTTGTGATGTCACATGATATCTGGCAGCATTGTTCTCTATTGTCTGGATTTGGCCTAGTTCAGCAGCCATGGGTCCCAGGTCTTCATGGGGCGGGCACTCACACTCGCTCATTCACGCAAGGCTCAGCAAAGCAAGAAATAACTGCAGCCCATGTACACATTCAGCTCAGGAGTTATTAGGTGACATAACTTCTAATGATGTAGTTCTCTGTAACTGTAATTTCCTGGTGTTGTCTTTCATTATCATGTGAATACTGCCCAGGAGATGTTGACAGACTATAATAATATCCAAAGATATTGACAATAGGGTTAAGCAATATGACAGCACACGTGTGACGGTAGAAATGTGTCCACCGGTAGAGATTTGGCAATACCGTTTCCACCTCAGGAGCTATGCCTTATTGTCTCTGCTAGGGATGGGAGACTCTGATACTCACAAACTACTACGGATTCCTTTTCAAAAAATTTTGATTATAAAATAAATTATATAAATACAAAACATGGGTGGGTCCAGCACTTCCTACCGTTTACAGTACTTTTGTATAATGTTTGGGACAATAAACTGACATATTTAGCTGGACTGTGCCACATAACTGTGAAAACTTATATAACATGAGAACCGAGCACGCAGCCACACAGTCTTTTTTAAAATTTAGCTGTATTTTTTAATGTCAACAAACATAGTATCAAAAGAAACAATCTGAGTCGCATACATACAGATGAAGCATTAAGAAAACTAAACAAAAAGCAGTGTCAAGCAGCAGTTGCACACTTTGCATCAAACTTTGTGACATCAAAGTGCCACAAATAGTGAAAGTTGCTCTGGGAACATTATGGCCTGTTTAAAGAAGTGATCAGCATTGTTATCAATAAAATTGTAGCAAAACGTTTGGTATTGCCCATCCCTAGTCTCTGCTATATATTCGTGGCAGACTGTAGAAAATTGGGGCTGGATTCTTGCATGGTCGTTTGATATTGCAATTCTTGCGGGGCAGTAGGATACGCATCCTACTGCCTCGCAAGCTAACGTGATTGGGCAGAAGGACTGCTTACCACATTCACATGTGATGAGTGGCGGTAATGCACCTCTAAAGGTGCTTTTCGACCAAACTTTTAAGTCCCCAGGTCTATTTTCAAGGAACTAAAAGGGCCCTTCAGCCCAACGTTGTGTGCGTTTCCACCGTGGTCTAAAGACCTGCGAAGATTAGGCAGATTAACCAGCTGACTTAGGCTGTAGGCCTGGCTGTACACAGCGATGCACAGACATCATTATTTGTAACCACTATTCATGAGCAACATTTATAAATGAACATCAGATTTGACTGGAATATAATGACAAACTACAGGTTTAGCTTGACCATTAAAGCATCTTTCTTTTGTGTGGGAGCTATAATGAGGATACACGCGATAAAGTTTGTTACACATTTAATAACAAACTGGATAAAGCCATAAAGTTCTTAAAATAACTCCAGCACAGAGAAAGCAGCACAAAAATAAAATCACGACAGTTTGGAAGGTTATTACAACATTTACAGTCAACAAGAGCTGCAGATCAGCTGGCAGCACATAAGTGGGTACGGAAAGTATTCAGACCCCCTTTAAATTTTTCACTCTTTGTTTCATTGCAGCCATTTTCCAAAAATCAAAAAAGTTCATTTTATTTCTCAGTAATGTACACTCAGCACCCCATCTTGACAGAAAAAAACAGAAATGTAGAAATTTTAGCAAATTTATTAAAAAAGAAAAACTGAAATATCACATGGTCATAAGTATTCAGACCCTTTGCCGTGACACTCATATTTAACTCAGGTGCTGTCTATTTCTTCTGATCATCCTTGAGATGGTTCTACGCCTTCATTTGAGTCCAGCTGTGTTTGATTATACTGATTGGACTTGATTAGGAAAGCCACACACCTGTCTATATAAGACCTTACAGCTCACAGTGCATGTCAGAGCAAATGAGAATCATGAGGTCAAAGGAACTGCCTGAAGAGCTCAGAGACAGAATTGTGGCAAGGCACAGATCTGGCCAAGGTTACAAAAAAATTTCTGCTGCACTTAAGGTTCCTAAGAGCACAGTGGCCTCCATAATCCTCAAATGGAAGACGTTTGGGACGACCAGAACCCTTCCTAGAGCTGGCCGTCCGGCCAAACTGAGCTATCGGGGGAGAAGAGCCTTGGTGAGAGAGGTAAAGAAGAACCCAAAGGTCACTGTGGCTCAGCTCCAGAGATGCAGTCGGGAGATGGGAGAAAGTTGTAGTAAGTCAACCATCACTGCAGCAATCCACCAGTCGGGGCTTTATGGCAGAGTGGCCCGACGGAAGCCTCTCCTCAGTGCAAGACACATGAAAGCCCGCATGGAGTTTGCTAAAAAACACCTGAAGGACTCCAAGATGGTGATAAATAAGATCCTCTGGTCTGATGAGACCAAGATAGAACTTTTTGGCCTTAATTCTAAGCGGTATGTGTGGAGAACACCAGGCACTGCTCATCACCTGTCCAATACAGTCTCAACAGTGAAGCATGGTGGTGGCAGCATCATGCTGTGGGGGTGTTTTTCAGCTGCAGGGACAGGACGACTGGTTGCAATCGAGGGAAAGATGAATGCGGCCAAGTACAGGGATATCCTGGACGAAAACCTTTTCCAGAGTGCTCTGGACCTCAGACTGGGCCGAAGGTTTACCTTCCAACAAGACAATGACCCTAAGCACACCGCTAAAATAACGAAGGAGTGGCTTCACAACAACTCCGTGGCTGTTCTTGAATGGCCCAGCCAGAGCCCTGACTTAAACCCAATTGAGCATCTCTGGAGAGACCTGAAAATGGCTGTCCACCAACGTTTACCATCCAACCTGACAGAACTGGAGAGGATCTGCAAGGAGGAATGGCAGAGGATACCCAAATCCAGATGTGAAAAACTTGTTGCATCTTTCCCACAACGACTCATGGCTGTATTAGATCAAAAGGGTGCTTCTACTAAATACTGAGCAAAGGGTCTGAATACTTATGACCATGTGATATTTCAGTTTTTCTTTTTTAATAAATTTGCTAAAATTTCTACATTTCTGTTTTTTTCTGTCAAGATGGGGTGCTGAGTGTACATTACTGAGAAATAAAATGAACTTTTTTGATTTTTGGAAAATGGCTGCAATGAAACAAAGAGTGAAAAATTTAAAGGGGTCTGAATACTTTCCGTACCCACTGTATCTGTGTCTGCCTGCGTCTGAGGAACGGGATGTTTAACGAGTTTTACCTGCTGTAATCAGCTGGTCTGCTTGTTTTGGAGAGCAGGAGACCTTGTGGAAACTTCCTGACTGATGAAAACTCAAAACAACAATTTCTGACCCAGTATTTAGTGTAACTTCATCAGCTGTTCGCTGTAATCACTAGGGGTGGGAATCACCAGAGGACCCACGATACGATATTATCACGATACAATAGCGATTTTAAAAATATTGCAATATATTGTATTGTGTATTTATTACCTTTTTTCCATCTTCAAATTGTGTCCCCAAAGGAGAAAAACACTTTATGAAAAAACTCTCTTTCTCGTGGACGGAAAAAGCAATTGATTTTATTATTTTAGTACCAAAAAGTTAAATTCTCATGTACAATTCGTATTAAAAAAAGATCGATACTTGACCTCTATGTATCAATACAATATTGCCACGGAAAATATCGCGATATAGATTTTTCCCCCCAACCCTAGTAAACACACTGCTGAACACTGGCTGCTGTTTCCCAGCTATAAATTTTATGCTGACATACGATCTCAGGTGGACATCTGCGAGACATGTGTGGATGACAAACTGGATAAAACCATCAAGCTCTTATAGTAACTCTAGCACAAAAATAAAATTGTGACAGTTTGGAAGGTTATTAAAGTTATAAAGTTAAAGTTATGAAGGTTATAAAGTATTTCTGATTCTGATTTCGGATATTAAAACATTTCTAGGACACGTCTGTGTCGCCTGAGCGTCGGAGGAACGTGATTTTAACATGCTTAATTACCTGTTGTAATCAGCTGTTCAGCTGGTTTTGAAGAAGTGGAGACCGACTTCAGCTATGTGTAGAAACTTCCTGACTGATGAAAACTTAAAAACAACAACTGTGGACCCAGTACTAACTATCAGCTGTTCATTGTAAACACACCCAGAATGGCTGCTAGTTACATTTAATGCCGACGATTGATCTCAGGCAGACAGCGGCGAGACATGTGTGGCTATTTGACTGCTGATTGTGATTTATTGGTTTGCAAACAATGGTGGAAAAGAAAGGAGAAGTAGGTGACAAACACCCGACATTTTCCAGTTAAAGCCAGTAGCCTCTACTCGCCCATTCAGAAATTCACTGCAAGGCAAGTCCCACCCCCCCAAAGTACACGGTACTTTTGGAAAGTACTACCCCCCGAGCAGGGTCTTTCTAGGGGGTAAAATGAAGACCCCAGAACTACATTTAGACCCTGGTCCCTCTGATAGGAACGCAGTGAGTTCCTTCAAAGGTTCCTAGTTCCGGGATATATTTCCTTTGGTCGAAACGCAGATTAAGCTGGTTTGCCAGCTGCCCTAAAAGAAGCCAGTGACAAGAAAACATGGAGGAGGAGAGTGAAAGTGCAAATACAAAGCAGAGGAGTTAGTTTTTGTTTGTATGGAAGTTCCAAATAAAAGAAAATAATCAAATGTCATTAAGTACGTAATAGTTATTTTAAACAATTTCTTAATTGAACTCACAGAACAATGTATTGTGAAATATACTATTACCATGATATAAAATTACATATATCATCATAGGCCATATCACCCGCCTCCAATTCACAATTTCTAATAAAATCTGAATTGAAATAACATAAAGCCTCTTTCCATGTATTTTAGTGAGTGCAAGAGAAGAAAAATTAAAAATGAATAAAAGTTGTTGCAGTTGTATTAGTGTAATTAGGTAAAACCACGTTTACAATAACAAGAATTATCTCCACTAAGTCTTTCGGATAACAGTGCATTGCTCGGTAAAAGTCTTCACTTAAATGAACAGATGAAAGCTTTTACAAGTCTTTTATCACAAAGCTATGGCTGAATAATAATTAGAAAGAGAATCTGCCTAGTTGTAATAAACTGGAATGACATTTGTTTTTTATTCATCAGTTACCAGTCATTGTGTTGAGCCTATTGAACTCCGTGCCCTGTCAATCTCAATAACACATAGCCTTACTTTTTGTAGCCTAACAAAAAGTAGCCCAAATTATCACAAGCTGCCCAAAACAAATGTTACCCACCCAGTTAAATAAAAGTAGCTCAACTGGACAGAAAACAATCCATTCTGCACCTAATGATGAACTTGCAAACCCATTACATGCACAAAAAAGGTATATAACTCAATAAAGGAGAGGGAAAAGAAGGGGAAATTCTGTATCATCATCCTGTAATTGCCACTTGTCGCTTTCTTTAAGTTAAATTGTGTTAATTGTGTTTTTAAATACTACTTGTGGTACAATATTGCGATTATACTTAAGTTGGCAATGTAATCCAATTTTGTGTTGTTTAGTTTATACCAATAACATGTCTGTCACCTACAGTTTTCCTTCATGTCTACACTCAGTTAGCATAGTTCTACAGGGCTCCTTGTTTAACAATTTCAGAGGAAGCCAGCAGTTGTCCTTCATTCTTGTACATTATGAAACACCTCCATAGGGCTGAGTATTACATCACACTGAACATGAATCATGTAACAGTCTCTATGTGCAACACTGAGCCAGATTGACTGTTTTATTACTGGAACAGTGTGCACACTACAAAAGGAACTAAAATCAAGTACATGTAAAACAATGTCATCACATAATACCTGCATTGAACTCTCAACCAGACAGAGATGATAGTAAGTCGGCTATAATTAAATCAAGCTGTATGTACATTTTAAAGCTTCCAGTGGAGGAAAGTTGCACAGTGACCTAATTTCTACTCTGACAGCTGACATTATCACGCTGCTATCTCTGTCTAAATCTGGTCATTCCTTTTTTACATTGTTTTGCTTTTTAACAACTTTTGTAACAAATGCTCTGTCATTTCCTTTCAAGACAGTTTATCACACCCTGTCTTGTCTTGAGACAGAGTTTGATATCAACATAAAAAATTTGGTGGTGGGACGTTGGCTGCACATAAGACAATAGAGTAAACAAAAGTATGGTCGCTATCTTTAGGACAGCAGCCAGGCCCCTCTTTTTCACTGCCTTCCCTTCCCTCCCTGTCACAGGAAGTCCTTTGAGTATGAGGATGCAGCACATCTGACGGCGAAACAAGACACGCTGGGAGGCCAGGCCAGGCACTCAGGCCTTTACCATGCCCACTCTGATGACAATATTTATGAGGACATTGTTTGTAAGTCGAACTTCCTATGTCATATAAACTGAAGAAGACATTGTGGAGTTGATTTTGAATGAACTTTTATAGCTTTTGATCATTACACTGACTGTCTGGCTGTCATGTATTTTAAACAGCTTAACTTAGCACTGGTTTTGACAAAGACAGGAAGTCATAAAGACATACAATTCCGATACTTGAAATGCCCCCATTTTAATTATATTATATTGCTGTCACAGAGCCTGTTAAAGAGTGATGCCGTACAGGGACCAGTGATATTATGAAAAATCATTTCATATGCCTACAAAAGGGGCCTGTTTCCTACTGCTGGTTTCACACAGATATTTTAAGAGTAATATGTAAGATGGCAAAGCAGATTGGATGATTTATACAGTCAGGGATTATTCAAGGTGCACACATGTTTCAGTCAGTGTTTAGGAAAGACTACTTCTGTTCAAATTTACAAATTAAGAGTCATAGAGAAAGGTTATATTAAATAAAGAAAGTTTTTTTATAGTGGAAATTAGGAGGAAAGAAATGGGGAATGAGCTGCAGCAAAGGTCCCCAGCTGGACTCGAATGTGTGTCCGAATGTTACATCCCATTCAGGGATTGCATCAGAAACAATATAATAATTTGTAAAAATGTTTTTAAAATAGTAAAATATTGCTTTCTACGAGACTTCTCCATCTGCTTTCTGTTGCTCCTCTGTAAAAGCTGACAAGAACTTGGCGTGGGAATTTGGCCTTATTAAGCTTCCTCAAGAAATCCAGTCGTTTCTGAGCTTTCTTCACCAGCGTGGAGAAGTGAGATAACCATGTCAGGTTCTCTGTGATGCTGATTCCCAGGAACCTCCTGTTCACCTGCTCCACCTCAGCTCCACTGATGGAGACAGGAGTGTGTTTTTATCTCCTTTATCCTAAAATCAATGATCAGCTCCTTAGTTTTGCTGACATTGAGCAGTAGGTTGTTCTCTGAGCACCACTCTACAATCCATGTAAGCCAAAACCTCAGATATCCCCCTGTTCTGAATGCTCGGTTTTAAACATTTTCCATATATGGTCGGTCATTTGCTCCAGGCAGAGAATGCTGGCCACGCCCACAAAGAAACATGCAGCCTTATGCCTGCGGCAACCTGGTAAACACATAAGACATTGGCCAATCAAAAGACAGGGGGCTTTGGGGTGGGTCTCAAAGAGAAAGGAGCATCTACAGCCTGTTTCATGAGGGCCTGCATGAAGGGCCAGTACAACATAGAAAATCCTTTTTTTGAACTTTGAATCATACAAAGCTACCATTAGGTACCATAGGGCTGGAAATGCAGTATAATAGGTCTCCTTTAAGTTCCTTCTTGAAAGCAAAGCATCAGATGTGATAAAACATCCATTCAGCCTTATCTTTCCTATCACTCTGTTTTATCCTAGGTGAAATCACCAGAGATAATCCCTATGAAGATGTCAACCTATCTCCCATGTGCCTCCCTATTGGAAGGCCTTACATCCCAAAGGTAATGAGATATTCCATTTATGTCGTCTTTTCACAGTACAGAAGGATTTTTCATTAGTTGTGTATATGTATCAAATGATCCCTTCCTAACCTGATATTCTAAGGGAGGAAGAAGTAATTATTGTACTTTGATACCATCTAATTACCTAAAACCAAGTGATAACTCCAAAGTTCTTGTCTTACAGCTGCCCCCTAAACCCCAAACGTTGCAAGACTATACTGGCAAATTGGAGAGGAAGAGGTTCCAAACAGCAACCAAATCCTCAATCCTTGCAGATACTCCCAAACCAGCTACAACCCTGTGCACAAGCACTCAAAAATCCCAGAGGATGCCTCAGGTAAATGATAACTACATTTTGTCATCAGTTTTTACAAACCTTTGTTATTTCGATACAATGGTTGACTGTTGGTCTACCAGATATGGTAATATAAAAAAAGCATCTCGAAGTGCTATGTATGTACGAAAGAAAGGGGGCTGTGACTTGTTAAGCAGGAAGGAGAGGATGCTGAATGAAATAGATAGTGGTAGAGCAACGTGTTTCGAATGCTTCATGAGAATTCAGACAGAATACAAGAATTTGAACATATGTCTCATGGCAGTGCAAAGTGTGTGGACAGGGAGGAACTTTAATGATAAGGTACAGTAATAAAACTTAAGACTTATTGTTATATGTAAAGGTGATGACTGTTACTATAGCTTTAAAACCCACATCACACTTGTACTTTATTTGCAGGTTTGACAAATACCAATCAAGATATTGAAGATATCTTTGTTGATCTGTTTATTTTGCATTATGTAACTTTTAAATAACAAAAGGTTTACAATAAATATCTTGCATAGTAATAATAAAACACAGAATTACTAGCTGTCCTTAAACTCTTTTAGATCACATCTTTGACAAAGAAAAATGACAATGGGCATAGACATAACCTCCATTATGTATTTTTCTGCTTAACAACAGTACCATTATCTTAGCTGGGGCTTTTTTGTTTCTTTCCTTACACTGTAAAACAAGTTTGTCTCCTCAACTGGCAGGGCTTTGTGTTAAAGATAAGTTTCAGCTTCCTGTATGTGCCTGTTTCTATGTTGAGCCCAACTCTGTGTGTTAATGCATGGCAGTAGTTGACTTGAGTCCACTATTAAATATGTGTGTTCTTTCAGTAGAATGCAGGAATGTAAGGGTAAAAAATGCTAAAAATCTGTAATATAATTGTGTACTTAGTGGCTATTATATCATGATTCCCTGTAATCATGATTCTATAATGGCTGTGAAATTATGGGGCTAAGCACCTGTGTGTGTGTGTGTGTGTGTGTGTGTGTATGTTTCTGTGTGTTTTCTACTACAAAGTACGTCAACAAGATTGAGACCATCTTTGACGACAAGAGAGGGAGGAAGAGAGTAAAGAACCAGGGAATTTCTGTGCGAGGTAACACACACTCACACTCACACTGTCACAGATGCCCAAATGTCACCCACATCAACACTTCAATAAGATTAAGTTGAGCCTCTTGGTGGAAATACCCAGCTTTTGATGGTACACACAAGGCCAGCTGCAGTAGGCGAAGCAACTGATTATGAAACAAAGGCGGACTGTCTGCATTTGATTATGGCTTATCAAGTCCTTTCCTTCCCTCTGCTTCTCATTCTGCTTCTCCCTAATCTCTCCCTCCTCTAATTCATATCACCAGAGGAGACCAGCGGGACAGAGAGCGACCCCGAAGACAACAGCAAAGGTATCACCATAAAGTTAATATGTCTCTAAAGTCCCTTTTTGTTTATGTAAGTCTGGATTTTAGGTTTAAGTTTAGAGGTACATATTCTTGTATGGGGTACAAAATCTTAGTTTTATCTGTCAATATTTATTATTGACACCCCCAAATATAAACACAGGGCTGGTATCAAAAAAATAAACATTCATAGCATCTCTGAAGAATTGATTAGCTCAAGGGAAGTTATCATTCTTCAGCGCTAGTTAATGCCAGCCATGTTACATATTTAAGTTCAATCAAGTGACATACCATAATGGGACCATAATGCACCTGATTACACATGAGAGATAACGAGACTAGTGCAGAAACAATTAGTCAACTCAAAGTTTGATCAATTGTTCAAGTCATTTATCAAAAATGCCAAGCTCTCACTGGCTTCAGCTTCTCAAAATTGTATTTTAGACTGCTGATGAGACAAAACTAGCAATTGAAAGATGTTAACTTGACGTTTTTCACAATTTTCTGATATTTTAAAGACTAAACAATTAATGGAAATAAGACTTGGAGTCTGCTGCCATGCTAACACCTCTGTGGGGCCGCACATCGGCATGGTGGTGCTTTGAGCTAAATGCTAAGTTTAGCATGCTAACATGCTCACAACGAAAATGACAAGATGCTGATGTTCACTAGAAAATATTTACAATCCTCTTTATCTTAGTTTAGTGTGTTGCCATGCTGACATTCGCTAATTAGCAATAAACACAAAGTACAGCTGAGGCTGATGGGAATGTCATAAATTTTTTTATTAGTATTATAAACACTGGACAGAATGAAACTTTGAACAGATGATGGCACTAGATTAAAGAGGATCACCGCAGTTATTACATTTCATCCTCTGGGAAACATGTATGTCTGTACAAAATTTTATGGAAATTTAGTATTTGTCAAGATATATCAGTCTAAAGGACTAAAATGGTTGCCACTGTGGCTTCTGTTTAGCCTCCTCAGAAGCAATGTAGCAATGAGGCTTATGGGAAATCTAATAATACTATCAGTTATCCATGACCATTGCTTTGTGTGAAATTGCTTTAGATTGATATGTATAATGCCTCATATTGGTGTTGTGGATGGCATATGTCCCAGGACAAGCATTACTTGAAATTCTTATTGTGTGGTGTCAAGTAGGCTCCAGGAGATCGGTTTATATCCAGTCAACACTGAAACGCCAGCCAGGCTACCGCACCCTGGAGAGAGACCTGATCCAGCTGCAGCAGCAGCAGCTTTTCCAGATCTTCGTGGTGGTGTCACTGAGAAAAGGCTCTCCAGGAAACACCTACTCCCCTGAAATCACGCAGCAGTTCCCCAAAATGGTTAGAAGGAGCCTTTAATATAACCCTACCCTTCTTCTAGACAAAGACCATAACTGAACTTTGATCGTAGTGCTTTAAAGGAAGACAATTCTTATCTTACATGATGAGGAATCCTTTGAAGGAGACTTTCCCAGTTATCATGAAAGCAAGTTGTTGAGTTTTGTTTTTCTATATGAATTTTATTCATATTTTATGTAATGTTAAAATTTGGCCATTTTTATAAAAGGTTTTATCTCAGGCACCAATATGGGAAGAAACAAATTGTTATTTGGTAGTGATTAAGAAGTGGTTATGTCAAAATACTCAAGGTTCTTTATTTCTTATACTTATCTAAGATTATTTCTATGAAATTATATCAGATGATATTGCTATTAATTAATCACTGATTTCATCTGGGTCCCCCTGGAACCACTTCAAGGAAGTAATTTGCAGAAGTGCTAGTGTAACTGGAGTCCCTCTGTTTCAGTTTGAGAAGTCGTCCCGGCTCTCCAGAGAGGCTGAAGATCAGCTGAACATCATTCCCAAGTTCTGCTTCCCCGACTCACAGGACTGGAAGCCCTCTGCACACATGCCAAGGTCAGCACATGCACTAACTAATATTTTAGTAGCAAGCTAGATGTATACAAAATAACTTTACCTCAACGTGTCCCATGACAATAACAGAATGGTAACATGATACTGTCTATTTTTCATCTTCTATCCATTTCCTTATGTACGACTTTCATGTGTTATAAGTTCTCTTTCACAAACAGTATTTAAGTTCTAGCACCTTAATTATCAGTTGTGTTATGTTTAAGACCCCCATTTCCTCTGTTCCTATTCATATCATCAGCTTTGAGCTGTACCCATAGATAGATGCTGCAAAAACCCAAATTCCCCACAGAGATAATTAAAGTTCCAACTGATCTAATTAAATCTCTGAGAGCTAAGAGGCATTGGGTATTCTTTTTTGTTTTTCTACAGGGTATGGTTCATTGTTGTAATGTGGGTTATGATCTCAACTTACTCTGCCACGCTGTCTTTATAACACTCATGATTTATTGTTTTAATGAGCTAATTCCCTAAGATATTTTTTCAATCTCTTTTTATTCAAGAAAGTACGGGCATTATACAATTATGGTAACATGTCTTTAAGGCAGTAAAAGTAAAATTAAAATATTTATCTCCTTTGTATTGATGTTGTGTTTACAGTGAGACCTTCTCCTTTGTCTTGACCGGAGAGGATGGCAGCCGCTGGTTTTGTTACTGCCGTAAGATCTTGGTGGGTGTGGATGTGGATATGTTAACCATTGCATCTGAAGCATTGGCTAAAGTGTTTGTTTGTGTGTGTTTGTGTGTGTGTGTGTGTGTGTGTGTGTGTGTTAGAGAGACATGGCAGCCCGCCATGTGCTTACTCAACATCTCTGAGGAGATGTGAATCAGTACATGTGAATCACAGACCATAACCCACTTCCGAATCAAAGACAGAGAGCAAAAAGAATTTGATAATTTTTCCCTTTCTTTTGCCTCACAAGGAGGATTTTAGACCTTTTTAGACTTTTCAAAACACACTTTTCTATGTTGAAATTATGTGGTATATCTGCTTATTTTGTTGGGGTTTTTTGAGCTCATGGCAGCTATCCTAAACATGGATGTAGTTTAGAGTTTAGACTCTTGATTTTTTATTATTTTTTTCCCATCTACAAGCACATTAAAAGGGAAAATGTTCAGGCCCTGATTGTACTCTATTTAGTTAAATGTTGTTTATGTTTGATGTGTTGTTGTCATATGTATCTCCGTTGTTACCTGCTTTCTGACAAATGAAACTATGTGTGTCTTGAAGCCAAGTGGGAAAGGAAAGAGGCTTCCTGAGGTGCACTGTATTGTCAGCAAATTGGGCTGTTTCAACCTGTTTGCAAAGGTAGGGCAACTATACAATATATTTGCTTCCTTGTCTCTGCCGATAGAAGCCTGTATAGGAAGATAATAGAAATGAATCCTTAGCAATCCCTGGGTGTGTTGTTAAAAAATTAAATTGCATGCATGGTAGCAGTGTCCCACCCATTTTCCAGTTGGCTGTGAGAAATTTACAAACAGTACGTGTGAATGTGCCCAGGTGGAAAACCTTACTTTACATGCAGAGCTGCATTTTGCATCTGTCCTGTTGTTTAGATTTTAATCAACACTAGATTTTCCAGGACACACAGTGATTTGTGTGGCTCTATCTGTCTAGATTTTGGAGGAGGTGGAGAGGCGCAGGGAGATTTCCCCGGCTCTTGTTTACCCTTTTATGCGTAGCGTGATGGAGGCCCCGTTTCCAGCCCCTGGACGCACAGTCACTGTTAAGAGCTTCCTCCCTGGCTGTGGGAATGAGGTAACCCTGAAACCAAAAGAGGAAATTTTAATTAGTAGTTTTGTTACTCCCAGTTTCTGCAGACTTGGAATGACTCAGAATGGGAGGTTATCTGTATAAAAAATAGGGAGAGCTATTTCAGCTTTGATGGGTTCATGTTGGGACAGTTGTTAACAGTAATCACTTCAATCATTCCTGTTTACGGACTTAAAATAAGTGAATTAAGGACCCTTCCAGTAAAAATTCAAATGTTTACCACCATCATTCAAATGATGCAAAATCACTACCTTCTTATGTGTCAGCATTAGGTAACTCTTAAGACACCAACTTTTTTTATCCACTTCTTATCTAAAGAGTCAGATTTCAGGCATTCACTCAACAGTCATCGGCGAACAACTAGTTTTAACAACTACATGTTATAACACTGTATTTACACTTAGCCTGACTCCATGTGCTGTTGTTGCTTTGCCAGCTACTCACTTTGTGTCGACCAGTGGACTCCAGACTGGAGCACGTGGACTTTGACAGTCTTCTGCAGTGTCTCAGTGTTGGGAAACTCCTGCAGGTGTTTGCGTCTCTTCTGCTTGAGAGGAGGGTCATCTTAATCGCTGACAAACTCAGGTACTACTGATGACTGTACTATGATATACAGTAGCGATTCAGAATATTGAGATAGGCTATTTTAAAAGTTAGACTCCCCCTTGATGTGTGCCAGCTATAGTCGATTCTTGATTACATCACATAGTTACCTGCCTGTCAGCTCGCACTGCTCCGTTTCTGTGGATCTACCATAAAGGCTTGAATACGTGTGCACTGCAAATTTAGGTGCGGCTAGCAGAATTCTGAGACTTTTATTTCTCAGAATTCTGACTTTAATCTCAAAATAAAAAATAAAAATTCACACGTGGCCCTAATCCTCTTCCGCACACTGCTGACATGTCAACGTAATTGTTCGGTAAAATTTATTCAGTCTTTTGACTTACTAGGCTGAACAGCGAAAGTGCTTTTTTTTTTGTTGTTGTTATTTTCGGCCGATTGATTTCGGTGGCCGAACATTCGGCGCATACCTAGACACAACTTCTAAGAAAAATGATGAATGACTAGTCACTTTGTAAATTCAGAAGATGATATGAAGTTGCTCCTAGATGAGTGTGCTGAGCTTGATAAGATATGAGAGACTTTTCTCCAGAAATTGACTAATCAAAAGGAAGTGGAGGAGTTTTTTCACAGCATGTAGGCACTTTACTGACTGTAAAGGGACAAGTGGTGAGCAATAATAAAAAGGTATAGGATTTGCATCTTGGGGAAATTCTTTTATACAAGTACTGTTTGCTGAAAGATCGTACAGTTGGTCAGTTTAAAAATGTGGTGGGGAAAATTATAATAGTGTGACCAAACTATTTTTAGTGCTCTGTGCTTGATATCTTTGTGTCATATGATCTGTGTGAGAACTGAATAGTGTTTTTGTGTTTAATCTTTTCTCTCCTCCCCTGTTCATTGAAGTGTGCTGTCTCGGTGTGGCCATGCAGTGCTGGCGCTGCTGTACCCCTTCACCTGGCAGCACACCTTTGTGCCTGTGCTACCAGCCAGCATGCTTGACATTAGCTGCTCCCCCACCCCATTCCTCATCGGGGTCCTGGCACCCTGCCTGCCACAGCTGCTGGAGCTGCCCATCGAGGAGGTCCGTCAGATTTCTGATTTAAATGTTTTGATATTACTGTCCAGTTTGCAGTTTCAATAGACAGGTCTTTCTGTGTATTGTTTGAATGTCGCCTTTTCTAGGATCTAGTACCAGTGAGGGTCTTACTGTAGCTGCCAATGTGTGTTAGTAGTGGTGGAGAAACATCCTGAACAGATTGTAGTTCAGGCTCACCTCACCTTTTTACAACTCTTGTTGTGAAATAATGAACTCGTGCAGTCAGTAACTGTCATTCATTCTTGTCACTGTCCTTCCAGGTGCTCATAGTGGATCTGTGTGCAGACAAGTTTGTCATCGAGGTGTGTATACATAGCTGTGCATAATGGGAATAATAGGTGTGGTCCCAGTGGGAGAGATGGCTAGCCCATACTTGTCCCTTATTTACATGCAGAACGATTTGAGTGTGACAGAGCGAAAATGTTACACCCACAAGCTCTGTAACTATTAAACTACAGTCGAATCCCTGATCACGTCTGCCTGGGTTATATTGATCACAATAAGCAGATGATTATTACTTAATTTCTCATGCAGATTACCATCTAATTGACATTTGAATATTTATTACATGAATATAAATTAATGAACAGGACAGCTTCGCTATTTACTGAATTTAACTGACTGTTTCAAATGCTTTTTAAATTACTATACAAATGACATCACTGTACTGTGCATATTTCATAAACAGTAATACAGTACTGTACATAAAATATAGATTACTGTAGTTCAAATTTTAATTATGCCATATAGCCCAAAACATTATTGTGCTGTTTACAAATACAGCAAGGTCAATAGTGCAAATAGGTAACAAAGTCACAATTTGGAGGTGGTTTCAGGGCATTTCTAAATTTTGAACAGGTCTGAAAATAAACGGTGGGCTCTCAATGCCGAACTGATGGCAGACTTTGAACTACTACATGATTACTATAAGCATGTTATTTAAACCAGCATTTGTATAGGAATGATTCTGTCCCAGGCTTTTTGATCTGCATAAGCAGCTGATCACTGCAACCGTGATCACTATAAGCGGCTTCCACTGTATATAGGATGAAAGCCCATCATGTCATGATGCAAACATAAAGGCTGCTTTGAAGCTGACTCAGAGTTGCAGGTTTTGTCGGTTAACATTCATCACTCAGTCTGTTCAATTAATGATGAACTTGTTTGTTTAGTTTTTGTTTTTTTTGGTTGTGTTTATATTACGTCTGTCTTAATTTGGCTGGGTTCCTATTCATTTAGTGAGCTTGTTCAGGCACAGTCTCTTTCTCTACTAACTACAAGCTAATGGGACAAGCAAGGGTTTACTTGCCACTCCAACATTAGCACATTGTTTGAACCGTTTGAACAAAGGGCTTCAGAATCTTTGACATAGAGTGTGTAGGTGTGGTCTTTAGAAAGAGAAACAGTTTGTTCTTTTGGCTCTGTAGTCCAGCACACTGGATTTGGAATGGGTCATTGCCCATTTCATGCCTTTCGTGTTTAACAGCATTAGGTCTTTGTTTTTGGTTCACCAGATGTAAAATCCATCTTTGTGTATCCCAGCACAAAAAAAAAACCTAAACAAAAATGTACAGAAATTGAGCACTTTTAGTCAGAAGTACATACAGTGTTAATGGTCACTGGTAAGGCAGTGATTACCACTTTGTAACTGGCATCATGTGACCGATGTTAACCTTTCCTGTGGTGTGTGACAGTTGGGCGATGAAGACTGCATCCTGCCCAGTAAACTGCAGGCAGCACTGCAGCAGATCCTGGAGGAGAGAGAAGATATTCTGAGGCAGGAGGGTGGAGACAGATGTGGAGGTTGGTATAACAAGACATCACACGTGCCACACAACAAGATGCTGTATGTCAGTATGGTATTTCAGCATCTCCAGTTGCTGATTATAAATCCCTCACAGCGGCTAATCTATTTTCAAGTCTGTTATTAACCCTTTTGTCTTAATCCAAAATGTCGCCCATCCAGGTCAGCAGGGTGACCTGAGCTCTCTGGTTTCGGAGGGTTTTGTGCGGTTGTTCGTGGAGCTGGTGGGCCACTATCCTCTCCACATGGTTGAGTCCTCCAACGGAAGCAGGGAGCTCCAGCGCGACAGCTTCCGCAAATCTCACCCCTCTCGTGGAGTCCGCCAGTTCCTGCAGCTCTTCATGGATACTCAGATGTTTGCCGGCTTCATACAGGACAAAGAGATGCGCAAGGGAGGGGGAAGAGGTAATTGTGTTGTAGCACTGCTAGGACTTTATGAAACAGCTAATTATATTGTCTAATAGGGTCTACTTTCCTGTTTCCATTACAATGCACTGATGAGTTCTGAAAAGGCAAAACAAAACTTGGACATGCACAAGAATTTTATAATAATAAAATCAATAGGCAGATACTACATTACTACACAGATACTACATTTACTGGTATTGTCCTTCAAGCTTATGCTTGGATTGGAGTCTTTGATACCTTGAGATGAGATTTTATCGCTGCCTAAGATGTCCCTACCTTTTAAGGTTCCCACAATGCTGCAGTTTATGCATATAACAAAAGTAAAAGGAGAAAATGTTCAATGTTTTCAAATGACAAGAATTAAATTCAGTTAACCTGTGCCCATCTTGATTAGCAACCAATCTGCTTATAAAATCAATGCTGGAAGTCTGAAGAGTAGCGTGGATGCACCATGGAATGTTTGTGACATATTAAATGTCATCCCAACAAGATTTCACATAAAAGTTGGAGAAAAAAAAAGTCAGAAATAATTCCACGTAGTTTGTTAAATGGAAAAGGGTAGTGTTTAATTTAATCATAGGAAACCAGACACATAGTATGAGGTAGTTAAATGAGTCACACGTTACACTGACCTAAAAGCAGGGCAACTGAAAAACAGGGTCAAGAAGATCTCTGCATGCAAATACCAAAACAATTAAACATGTTGCGAATTTATACTTTGTTCATGTTTCATTTTACATTTGAATATCAAATGCTGTACATATTCAGTCTCTATGGCTCACTTTCTCCCAGGTCTCTTTGAGGTCAGAGTGGCTGAGTATCTGGATTCGTACCCTGAGCCGGAGCCAAGTGGTGTGAACAAGTTTCTTAAAGGACTGGGTAAGTGTTGCTCTATCATCAAGTTTTCTTTCAAAAGGTTCATTTTAAACAACATATTGTTTTTCTTTTCTTTAGGAAATAAGATGAAGCTCCTGCAAATTAAATAAAAAAAAATCCAACACCCTGGCTTTTAAATGAAATAAACGTAATTAAAAACAGAACACTTGCTGCTGCTGGACTTTCTGAGGAAATGAATGTAGAAGAGAGTCTTGTGTTCTGATGTGAATGAGACAGTGAAGAGTTTGGATATGAGAGACCTGGCTCATGTTATAGCCATGTACGCAGTCTTAAAAGCAGTGCACTTCTTATTGGACGAAAACTGGAAACAGTTTTTTTGTTTTTATTCTTTTCAAGCATTGAGCACAACGCATTGTTTTGGAAAACTACAAAAAATCCATTCCAGCTTCAACCAACGTGTGGTTAACTCTTTTCTCTTTGACTTTGAATGGAAACATGTTTACTTGCAAGACTTTCACATTTAGATTCATCTCTACTGCACAATGTGTTTATTTTACAGTAAATATAACTTAAATGTTCAATCTCAAAATAATGTAAAATTCCATTATCCACGTTGCATTTGTTTCAGCACAAACTGGAAAAATCTATTGTTTACTGTTTTTTATTTGTTTAAATTTCAAATTAAGTATAGGTTTATTAAGTTTGATTAAAACATTTGTGTAAAAAAAAAAAAAAGTGTCAGACTCCAGGTTAAACCTCAATCAAAATACATTTACATATGCTTTTTTTTTTCTTCTTTTCTGGACTTTCTCCTTGTTAAATGGAGCTGTAAATATTTTTTTTTTACATTTTGCACAATGTTGATAACCAGTGTACAGTATTTAGAATATTTTTTTTTTTATAAATGCATGATGTGTCCTACATATGTTTTGAATAAATTGGGTTCCCAGGGACAGTATTCTTTGTGTGACAATGCTTTTTATTTTGTAAATTCCTTGAAACTGGGTTGTACCCTGCTTAAGAATAATTACACATGCGATTAAGCATTTGAATGGGAGTCCATATTGCTTATAGGCCTTGAGGGTATATCTGAATAAGTATTTCTATAGTGGTAAGTGGTTCTGTAGTTTCTCAATATCATGGTGTTCAAAAGGGTCAGGACTAAGGTTAATTCAGGTATTGAAAAAAAGTGTTCCTTGTCACACTGACTCCTGTATATGTTTTAGTCTCTATAGAAATTAATATTACTTAAAATTACAAAGTACAGAGTGTCTTTGTCTAGTAAAAAATTAAATATTAGCAATAATGAATTTATATTTCAATAAAAGCCTACACTATGTTCACATGGAAACAGTCCTGTTTTGTTTGAATCAAACCATATGCAGGATTGTCTCTGCTCCTCCAGTATGTGTATTTTATCTTGTAGCCATGTTTGTCTGAAGTTATTTTGTCTTTGTGTTTTGAGGATCAGACAGTGGCTTGATCTAAATGGAAAATGGACTGTACTGTATATCGCACCTTTCTAGTCTTCTGACAAACAATACACATCGCATTCATCCCATTCACACACACGGCAGTGACTGCTCATCAGAAAGGTACTAATTCACACGCTGATAGCAGTGGAATAGCCTTTCTATTTACAGTGAGGAAAATAAGTATTTGAACACCCTGCTATTTTGCAAGTTCTCCCACTTAGAAATCATGGAGGGGTCTGAAATTGTCATCGTAGGTGCATGTCCACTGTGAGAGACATAATCTAAAAAAAAACATTATCCAGAAATCAGAATGTATGATTTTTTAAACTATTTATTTGTATGATACAGCTGCAAATAAGTATTTGAACACCTGAGAAAATCAATGTTAATATTTGGTACAGTAGCCTTTGTTTGCAATTACAGAGGTCAAATGTTTCACTGCAGGAGGGATTTTGGCCCACTTCTCTAGATCAGTCAGGTTTCTGGGCTGTCGCTGAGAAACACGGAGTTTGAGCTCCCTCCAAAGATTGTCTATTGGGTTTAGGTCTGGAGACTGGCTAGGCCACGCCAGAACCTTGATATGCTTCTTACAGAGCAGCTCCTTGGTTATCCTGGCTGTGTGCTTCGGGTCATTGTCATGTTGGAAGACCCGGCCTCGACCCATCTTCAATGCTCTAACTGAGGGAAGGAGGCTGTTCCCCAAAATCTCGCAATACATGGCCCCGGTCATCCTCTCCTTAATACAGTGCAGTCGCCCTGTCCCATGTGCAGAAAAACACCCCCAAAGCATGATGCTACCACCCCCATCTTCACAGTAGGGATGGTGTTCTTGGGATGGTACTCATCATTCTTCTTCCTCCAAACACAGTTAGTGGAATTATGACCAAAAAGTTCTATTTTGTTCTCCTCTGACCACATGACTTTCTCCCATGACTCCTCTGGATCATCCAAATGGTCATTGGCAAACTGAAGACGGGCCTTGACATGTGCAGGTTTAAGCAGGGGAACCTTCCGTGCCATGCGTGATTTCAAACCATGACGTCTTAGTGTATTACCAACAGTAACCTTGGAAACGGTGGTCCCAGCTCCTTTCAGGTCATTGACCAGCTCCTCCCGTGTAGTTCTGGGCTGATTTCTCACCTTTCTTAGGATCATTGAGACCCCACGAGGTGAGATCTTGCATGGAGCCCCAGTCCGAGGGAGATTGACGGTCATGTTTAGCTTCTTCCATTTTCTAATGATTGCTCCAACAGTGGACCTTTTTTCACCAAGCTGCTTGGCAATTTCCCCGTAGACCTTTCCAGCCTTGTGGAGGTGTACAATTTTGTCTCTAGTGTCTTTGGACAGCTCTTTGGTCTTGGCCATGTTAGTAGTTGGATTCTTACTGATTGTATGGGCTGGACAGGTGTCTTTATGCAGCTAACAACCTCAAACAGGTGCATCTAGTTTAGGATAATAAATGGAGTGGAGGTGGACATTTTGAAGGCAGACTAACAGGTCTTTGAGAGTCAGAATTCTAGCTGATAGACAGGTGTTCAAATACTTATTTGCAGCTGTATCATACAAATAAATAGTTAAAAAATTATACATTGTGATTTCTGGATTTTTATTTTTAGATTATGTCTCTCACAGTGGACATGCACCTACGATGACAATTTCAGACCCCTCCATGATTTCTAAGTGGGAGAACTTGCAAAATAGCAGGGTGTTCAAATACTTATTTTCCTCACTGTATATCCTCAATTCTATTTAAAGGTTGCCTTCAGTTTTGTAGTGTAGGGCTGCAGCCTCTTCTGTCACATTTTCACTATTAATAATTAAGTGAAAATGTTTTGTGTTTTTGTATACCACTGACTAGAAACTACATTACAAATTAACTTCAATATTTACATTTTCCAGCACATTATGTAAAATACCTCTTCAGCACGTACCTCTGACTTCGTTGCACTCATAAATTCCAATTGGCGACTGAAACCAAGAAGGAGTAACCTAAATCATTAAGATTGAAAATTAAGTCTGTATAAAGAGTCAGTCCTTTGGTTGGTATATTGATTAAATACACCCATCTGGTAGAACAGGTTCTTTTGGGAAGGGAAATTGTTTGCCCTACGCTAAGCCCAACCACAACCATTTGTTGGAATGGTACACAGCTTATCCTGAGAGGCAGATTTCAGGTCAATTAAATGTCTTAAGAATTTTTCAGAAGTAATATGTGCCGTTTAATGGTGTTAAAGACCAATCAAGCAATGTCATAAAAGTATGTTACCACCATGGCCACATGAGGGCACTATCTGCATATGCTTACACTGACGATAGGAGTAACAGATTTGAGGTTTCAGTCCAATGTACTGAAGTCTCCCTGGAACCTTTCTGTTTCAGTGCATCAACATCAGCATCTCAGATATAGCATGTTTGGTATTTATATATTATGCCTAGATTATACACTGATCAACCATATCTGTGTGTTCGGACACCTTTCTATGAGAATAAGCATTGACTTTTTCAGCAGTTTCACCTACAGTAGCTCATCTGTTGGATTGGACCACACAGGCCAGCCCTGCTCCCCACGTGCATCATTGAGCCTTGGCTGCCCATGACCCTGTCCTTCCTTAGACCACTTTTGATAGGTACTGACCACTTTAGACCAGGAACACCCCACAAGAGCTGCAGTTTTGGAGATGCTCCGACCCAGTCGTCTAGCCAGCACAATTCGACCCTAGTTAAAGTCAATCAATCTTATGCTTAACAACTCTGAGAACAAAATGGTCACTTGCTGCCTAATATGTCCCACACACTGACAGGCGTCATGGTGACGAGAAAATCAGTGCCTTTTACTTCACCTGTCAGTGCAATGATTAATGTTATGGCTGATTGGTGTAAACATCTGTTGTATTTTTGACAAGTAATAGAAGTCAGTCAATAGGACAACTGGTAGAGGCAAGAAAACGATTACTATTAATAACTGTTTAACCTTTAATTCCTTAGAGTCTGACTTAAGGTGTAACACTGTATACCAAGATCAGTTTGAACTGGGGTAACCACAGGGTACACTGCACAGAATCACGTATCAAGACTTGTCAGGTTCACATTAAAGTTTGGAGAATGTGGATTCATCTGCTGCTAACAATAATCCCCCAACAAATGCACTATAAATTATTTATCCTTTAAAAAAATTTAACTATATGTTTGGCAGGGTTTTTTTTAAGATTGACATCTTCGGTGGGAACCAGTGGGCTTATGGCTGAGAGCTAAAAATATAAATATTGAGACACTGTTGGTTTTGGTCTTTTCATGGGATTTATGAGCAAAAACAAAAATACGTACGCCAAGACCTACTCTTTGCTTTCATTTCACTTCCCTCGATAAATGACTGTAGACTTTAACCTTTAAGACCGGTTTGATTAATTACACAAGTTCTGACTTATAGCAACTCAAAACCAATAAAGTAAAAGATAAAATATTTTCATTGTGTCTACCAAACACACTGTGTGCACAATTATTAGGCAAGTAAGTATTCTGAAAGAATCATTGTACTATGCACATTTTCCAACTCCAAACCATGTAAACTTGAAATGAGTTAATCATTTTCAGGTGATTCAAGTCTTTTGCATTTAATTTGCACCTTTTCTTCGCTGCACTTTTTGCACCCCAAAATGTTGTCCAGTAGTCACGGCTCAAAAGTTTAGCTATTTCAAGAGTGACACATCCAACTGAATGGCATTTTACAATTTTTGAGTTTTCCGTGTCAGTTAAATCTCTCTTTTTGGCCTATTTTACCTGAAGTAATGAAGCTGCGTAATAATCATGCACATCTTGATATAAGGTGTCATTCACTTTCGCCACACCCTCCCTCATTACACAAATACAAATCACCTGAAAATGATTAACTCCAATGAGCATTCAAGTTTTTATGGTTTGGAGTTGGAAAATGTGCATAGTAATTATTCATTCAGAACACTTATAACTGTGTATATCAATAGGTCACTTACTGTAGGTCCTCTGACCAGAGCATGTTGGTTGGATCTCAATTCCGTCACAAATATGTCTCAGAGGGCTGTACAATTTGAACAAGATATACCTATATTCTTAGAAACTCAATTTGGATAAGGAAGAATTAAACTTACAGGGAGAAAAAAAAAGGGATCCCTCTTTCAGTATTGCCAGACATGCAATAGCGCCGTATGTACAGCGTAAACAGACGTAGCAGTACTAGAATTACAGTATGTATCATAAGAATGTAATAATAAGTATATGAAGAAAAGAACCTATTATCTTGAGTAAATATTAATTGTAAGAAGTTAAAATGTTTCAGACAAAATGTAAGTGTTTGGACTGAAAATGTGGACTGCTAGTCATGGAATGGCTATAATAAGGTTGTTCATGAGTGTACCAGAACACCACAGGCCACGGTGATTTGACGAAATGGTCATACCATCAGACCTGGTATGTCCTATGTCTTAGACACTAGGTTGAAGAGATGAAC